TCTATCCCCAACTTAGAAGTATAATAAAAATTGAATATCAGTTTATCAAAATGGACACTTGACTGCCTACACCAGGGGAGAGAGAGCTAAAACAATATATGTAAGCTTTTATTCCATGAACACGGAATGCACAAGAATGTTCAAGGCAGCTATATTCCTAATAGTCTCAATTATGAATAATCCAAATGTCCATCAACATTAGAATGAATAAAAACATAGTGTAGGCGTACCCTACAAAAAAATGGGAAAGCATGAACAAAGGACACAGTTTGGATGCATTTTACGGTGTAGAGCAAAAGAGATTGCACCTAGTGGGCATGCCATGTGATTTCCCTTTGTTACAGTTCACAACAGGCAAAAGTCATTTGTGGTGACAAACGTCAAAACAGTGATTGCGCTTGGGGAAAATGACTAAGAGGAGTGTTAGGAAGTCTGCTGGGGCTAGCAAACACTCTGAATCTTGATTTTGCTGATGTCAGATGAGTGTGCGCTGTGCGGAAGTTCACTGGGTCCATGCTCGCATCTGCATGCCATGCCAGTTGTCCTACGGGTTGTCTTTAGGACGGAGAACCTCCCTGAAGCCTGGCACTCAGCCTTTGCTCCATGCTCCACGGCTAAGGCATTGATTCTGAGTCTGATTCAAACTAGATTGTTTAACCTCCTGGTAGTTTGTTATCTATACAGAAAGAATAAAAATAGCCCCTACCCCCTGGCATTGTTCTGAGTTCAAATAAGATAATTCATATCTACAGTGCTTCACAGGATCCCTGCTTGGTACGTCATCCACACACTCATGAAACCCAGTGTGGGGACTTTACGCTTCCCCTTTTCTCCTCCAACCACCAAGCACATCTTCACACTGCCGTTTCCTCTTGTTTTCTGTGTGTCAGGAACACGTGCGCAGGGGCACACCTACACATGTGTGCATTTGCATGTGGAGGCCAGAAGGCAACCTCAGGTGTCATTCCTCCCAGGTACCATCTACCTTATTCTTTGAACAGAGGCCTCTCTGGGGCCCAGGCATTGCTGATTAGGCCAGGCTAGCCGGCCAGTGAGCCTCAGACCCAGCCCTCTGCCTCCTTCCACAGCGTTGGGATCACAAGCACACACCACCAGGCCTGCTTCTCATGGGTGTGCTGGGGCTCGGAGGGCTTTATTGCCTGAGCTTCTTTCCTGTGCTCCCCTCCTCCTGATTCCATTTATTCCTGTGACCTCCTCTTCCTTTTTGCAAACAAGTTTATATGTCTTAAAATACATGGAATACAACTACACATGCTTGTTTTTGTTTGTTTGTTTTTGAGACCGGGTTTCTCTGTATTGTTTTGGAGCCCGTCCTGGCACTCGCTCTATAGACCAGGCTGGCCTCGAATTCACAGAGATCTGCCTGACTCTGTCTCCTGAATGCTGAGATTAAAGCCACCTTTGCCTGGCTCACAGTTATTTTCTGAATAATAATAATAATAATAAAGCAAGCACACTTGGCATTTCTCTCTCTTAAAATACAATTCCAGACTCACTGAACCTGAATCAGATGAACATATTTGTTATATCTATGTGGCCTCCATGGGTTAACTCAGTGGTTTGCAGGCTTGTCTGCACACCAGGCTCCCATACGATCTTGACCAAACCACTTTGAAACCAGTACCTAAGGTGGGACTGGACCTCAGCCTCTGGAGCTCCCAGGGTGTGGACAAGTTTGAGGAGCACTGGATCCACTTTCTGATCCTTCCACAGTGTCTCAGCTGTTCCAGCACCAGAATGACCAAGCATTTTCTAAATAACCCCCGCAGGGCCCAAATGTTTGTAAGGTGCAGCCAGCATTAGGAGTCCTTATCTAAAGGAATGGTACATTGGCAATCCTTGGGATTGGGGTGACTCTAGTCCCCAGCACCAAATGTTCCCCCTCGGCTAGAGTACTTTCTCTTCATGGTTTGACCATTTCTGTCCCTGTCTATTTCCTTTGCAAGCTAACTATGGAGAAGCCTGTGTCATGCTGATAAGCGTTTTAAATGTGCTTCACCCTCAGTACGGGATTGTGCTGGACGCGGGGTCCTCTCACACCAACTTGTACATCTACAAGTGGCCGGCTGAAAAGGAGAATGACACAGGAGTGGTGTACCAGTTGGAAGAATGTCAAGTGAAAGGTATGAGGGAGGCCGGGGAAGTGGGGAGAATGGGACACGAGAGCAGGGGAGGCACCGACGCTACACAAGAGCAGAAGGAGCCAGCACAGAGCCACGGGAGGAGCACAGTGGAGCTCTCGCTGGTGTTTTATTGTCACTATATAAACTGTGACATTGAGCCAGGCCTAGGAGCACAGGCTGGTGAGCAGGAGGCTCACAGCTTCTGGTCAGCCTGGACCACAGGGTGGGGGTACATGGCCAGTCTGGACAGTGTAGAGGACTCTGCCTCAAACAAGTTGTGGCTGTAGCTCAGCATTAGACATACGCCTCACCTGGTCAATCCCTATTACCAACAACAACAACACCAACAATATTGAAACCAATCCTTGGAAAATAAGCAAATTTAAAAATAGCTAAAGGTGTAGAAGGTATGGCTCAGTGGTGTTGTGCAGGCTTAATAGTCACGGTGTCCCAGGTTAGAGTTCCAGCAACACACACCACACACACTCGTGCACGCACAGAATTGAGCAGTAATAGTTCTCCTCTATAGGACTTTTCTGTGTGTCCTGCACTAAGAATGCAACATGTGTTTTCTCCCTCGCAGGATTGGTTGGGTGAGAAGCAGCCAGCATCCCTGTTTTAAAAATGAGGGCAGTAACATTAAGACAGGCCTTGCCGATTGATTGTTTAAAGCTACTTAGGCTGGCAACTGATGGAGCAGGCTGTCAGACCCACATGGGAGCCAGTGAACTACTGGGTGGGGGTAGGGGTGGGGATGGGACTCAGAGCATGGATGTAGGCCCCCTACTACCAGAGTTCCTTGAGTCAACATATCTGGGCTGGAGCCTGAGGATTTATGTTTCTAAAAGTCCTTGAGTGATTTTGATAGCACGATCTCCTGCTCTCCTTATTTTTAGACTCAGATCTGCAACTTGGAGGAAAATTTCAAATGCTTTCAGTCTCTGGGAAGAGCAGATCACAGGCTTTTAGGGCTGGGGACGGTTAAATCTTGTTTTCCAGGGAAGGAAACAAAAGCCTAGAGGATCAGTGCCCCGTAAGTGGCAAGAATCTGGTGGGTGGTCCAGACCCCTAGCTGCACTATATGCAACTCAGAAGTTCTGCTTTACATACCCTCACCGTCACCCGCCGCCTACGTCAATTTTAAGGTTACATGAGAGGATGGCTGAATGCCCAGCTCCCTGGCTTCCTCTACCCTGCTCTCCATCATACACCAGACACCACATCTCACCACCATCTCTGTGATCATTGTCTCTTGGCCTTTTGAGCCAGGAACACACTGTTTCTTTTCAAACAGGTAAACTAGATCCCAGAAGAGAAGTGGCTTTTTATCCGCTGGCTTTCACTCATGTTTGCAAATTTGCCAAGGAACTAGGCAGGGATAGAGACAGAATGCCATTCTGCCCAGAGCCTCTTAGGCTTCGCTGCAGTGAGGCAGTGCTCCTTGAGGTCCCAGAAATTCCATCCTTAACTTCACGGACTTTCAATTTTAAAATAAAATAAAAACAATTATTACAGCAGATGCCTTTCTTCTGAGACTCATCCCATAAATGCAGGTGTTTGGCCCAGCAAATGCTGGAGTTTCTCCTCCAAACAGAGTTAATGAAACAAAGGACCATGTCCTGAGTCAGAAGTGAGCTGCTAACACAGCATGGGGTATCTCATTATGTTAAGCAAACAGGCTGTTTAAAAGCCTATTTGAATAATCACCTAGAAAGCAACTTCTTGCTAGGAAGCACTCTGGAATCCACCTCAGCGTGAGATGGAAACACGACAGTGTTAAACTCCTAACACTCAGGAGTCTGGCTCCAGGACTCTCCATAGCAACCTTAGTTTGCTCTAAAATTGGAATAACAGTCTTGGTAGGGAGGCACGGTGCTGGAGGGGAAAGGGCTCTCAGGATACGGAGATTCTGTTTCTGTTTATTCTAACAAAGGAAGAAACCACATAAATTTTAGGGCATAAGGTATGACATAGCTTGTTGGTGACATGTTCTGTCTTTTCAGGAAAAGCCAGTGTGTAAGTTGCTTTGCTTTAACTTTTATGCTAAATGTCATCTTTATCTTGGCCCTCTGGGAACTTATGTTGCTAATCACAACTCTGTGGCGGGATCACCCAAAAGTGGTTAACAGAGAGGCCACTGCAGTGAAAGAAGACACTACTCAATTGAATGTGAAATTGCACCACCTTGTGGCTAAATTGCTGAAAACCAGGTGTTACCGGCAAGGTTTAAAAACTACATCATAAGCAATACCATATGCACTAGCTACTCTCTCATGACTATCATGAAATACTTGAGAGAGCAACTTAAGGGAAGAGGTATTTCTATTGGCTCTTGGTTCTGAGGGAACCAGTCCATCATGGCAGAGAAGCCTGGGGAAGAAGCTCTTTGCGTCTGGGCAAATGAAGCAGGAAAGGGCTTCACCCAGCTTGCTCCTTCCTTCCCCCTTTTTTGTTCAGTCAGTCCTGAACCCGAGCCCCAGAGTAGTGCTGCTCACATCTTTCCCCTCCAGTTAAACCTCTCTCCAGCCAGCCTTACAGACATGCTCAAAAGGCGCCTCCTTCATTCTCTAGGTGCTTCTTACTGCAATTAAGTTGACAGTCAACATTAATGCCTGTTCCAGAACTCTAAGTAGCACAGCACAGTGTAGGTCATATTGAGAAGTGTTTCCTTCCATCTTCTTTGCAACCTCTTCTCTGTGATATGGTCAAGGCATGCTCCACACCTTTATTTATTTAGTCATTTATGAATGCATTTATTATTTATTTTAAATACATTTATTTATTTTTCATCTTCTGTATCTTTCCTTAGGTCCTGGAATTTCAAAATATGCTCAGAAGACAAATGAAATAGACACATACCTAGCTGAATGCATGCAAATGTCCACTAAGTTGATCCCAGCATCTAAGCATCGTGAAACACCTGTTTACCTGGGAGCCACAGCGGGCATGCGCTTACTTAGGTAGGGCAGCATACAGACAAGGGTTGTAGATTAACAGTTCCTGTCCTGCTAGCCTGGTTCCGCAGCCACCTCAACGCCAAATGAACACACAGAGACACTATATTAATTGTAAACTGGTTGCCGATGGCTAGGACTTCTTATTGGCTAACTCTGTCTTAATTATTAACCCATAACTACTAATCTATGTAATTCTACATGGTCATGGCTTACCGGAGAATGGCCGGACCTATTACTCCTTTGTGGTCTACATGGCAACTGTCTCACGGTCTTTCTCTGCCTATCTTTCCCAGAATTCTTCTTGTCTCCTTGTCCTGCCTATTTTCCTGCCTCCGTTGGCCAAACAGTGTTGTATCATCAACCAATTAAGAGAAAAATATATACAGAAGGACATCCCCCATCATAGGGTACTAGAATTTAGAAGCAGTGCAGGGTGTCTAGAGTTATGGGACTTATAGCTACCTCACACCAAATCCCATGGTAAGAAATAAGTTTTATTAAGTATTTATATGGTAAGTTTTAAGTATCTCCCTTGGGGAAGTCAAAGGGGACAGTGTATTATAGAGCAAGATTAAGGGTGTGCAATCTGAGATTTGGGACTGAAGATAGAATCAATCCTTGTCTGGGAGGAAAAAGGCAAAAGAAGATCCACCAATATCCTAAGACAAGTAATTGCAGGTAACAAAGCTTGGTTGGTCACCCCATCAGTATCTGTGTGAATTGTTTATATCGTCTTCCATTCATCCAGGGTGTGGGAGTGCTTGCCTACTCGGTCCACAATCTATGAGTAGGTGACTCAGCCCTCAAGGAAATCAGACTTCCATTCAGGGCCAGTGTTGTTTGAGGAACAGGCAAAGCTGCTGAGGGAGTGCTTGGCCTTGCTCGAGATGGAAGGTGGTGAGAATGGCTGGCCACAGCAGGGCTGCATGAGCTGAATCAGGAAGGAGGGGCCGGAGGGGAAGGAAGGGCGGTGCTGGCAAAGCCCAGCATCCATTCAGTTAGGCATCTATTCAGCACCTATTACGTGTCAGGGATGGTTTTAAGTGCCGCGGATAAACTATCGAACAAAACACAGCTCCTGACTTCATGGGGTTTGTGCCCTAGTGGATGTGCAAAGAGAAGGAAATGAGCAAGACCAGGGCAGAGGCAAGGATCATCACAGAACTGTCATCTGTGGAAGCGTCTCCATAGGAAGGAGGTGGGAGGAGCAGTAAAACAATAATAGAAGCTTGTGTTCTCAGTACCCTGCTAAGTACTTGATGTGCATTTATTTAATCAAGGTCACTATGAAGCAAAGATATTAATTAACTGGAGAGTGAAGCTGCAATTTAGAGACGTCACTCACCTGAGGCCACATGGCTGGAAAGTGGCAGGACCTAGACTAGAAAGTGGCCCATGCCAGGAAGGCTGGAGAAATAAGATGCTGTTTTAGGACATAACACAGTTGTTGGTACTAAAGGGCAGACTGGAGCAGAAAGGCTTGGGAAACTATTTCTTTGCGAGACCCAGCTGGAAGGCGCATCCTCTCACTCAGGGCTCTTGGGGGTTCAGACTGGGTCTTGGGCACAATCACATCTTCATGTGACAACCTTGAAGACTCCCTTTAGGTTTCAACGTTTCAAACAGACCTAAGAACTGAATGATAACTAGAGGAAGATTCTCCCAGGTTGGTTTTGGGGGCATCAGTTACTCATTTCTACAGCCCTAACTAACACCACTCAGAGTCTAAAGTATAAGCAAGCAAGGACCACAGTGATGGCTAAAGCAGTACATACCCCCTCTTAATATGGCCAGACAACACCAAGCTACCACCACAGTCGTTTAAAACCCTCTGATACTTTTTGAGCTAGGGAGCAAAGCCAAACTGGTACTTTGAAAAGATACATCTACTCAATGACTGGAGGATTTGGACTTTGGAGAGGCAGAGCCAAAAGGATGGCTCCTGTGAAAGCCATGTACAGCCTCTGTGAAAGCCATGCACAGCTCCTGTGAAAGCCATGCACAGCTCCTGTGAAAGCCATGTACAGCCTCTGTGAAAGCCACACGAGGGGCCCCTGTGTCTCCCATACCAGTGTGTTACGTATGTTCTCTAGCTGAAATGGGTAGGTATGACAACAAAAAATGATAACCTCGCCTCTTCTTTTGTGTAGAATGGAAAGTGAACAAGCGGCAGACAGGGTCCTGGCTGCAGTGTCAAGAAGCCTTAGCAAGTACCCCTTTGACTTCCAGGGTGCCAAGATCATCACTGGCCAAGAGGAAGGTGCCTACGGGTGGATTACTATCAACTACCTACTGGGAAGATTCACTCAGGTAAATACCTCACACCAACGAGGTGGTTCCTACAGGGTCAATGCCACTGCTGTCTTAAGCAATATTTGGGTCTTTAGCAAAATGAATGATGGGCAGATAAATGAATGGATGAATGGATGAATGAATGAATGAATGAGTGAACAAACAAAATGTACTCCTACATTTGTAGTCATCACTAGAGGTATATTTACTGTTACTACAGGAGAATATTGAAGCTGTGTCTTCATCCCAGGGAGACACAGAGGAAATGAAAATCTATTTTAAAGTTTTTATTTTTATTTTTAAAAATTAAGTGCATGACGTGCCTCTGTGTGGGCACGTGCACATGGGTGCATGTGCTTTTGGAGGTCAGAAGAGGCTGTTGGATCTCCTGGAACTGGAGTTACACGTAGTTGTGAGCCTCCCTATGTTAGGAAACAAATTCAAGTCCTCGGCAAGAGCAGTGTGTGCACTTAGTCACTGAGCTCTCCAGCTACCACATCTATTTCTCTTTTTTTTTTTTATCATTTTTTTATTTGAATTACAAACAAGATTGAATTACATGACAATCCCTTCTCCCTCCCTTCCTCCCCTACCACCTACCCATCTAAAACCCTACCCATCACATACCCTTTCTTCTATTCTTCCCCTGACTCAACCTTTCTGCTCCCTCATGACCTCTGCATCCTTCCTCTTCTTCCCTTCTCATTCTCCTAGCTCCCTCCCCCCTCTTCCCATGCTCTCAATTTGCTCAGGGGATGGTGACCCTTTCCCCTTCTCCAGGGGACAAAGTTTGTCTCTTTTAGGGTCCTCCTTGTTTACTAGTTTCTCTGGCAGTGTGGATTGTAGGCTGGTAATCCCTTAATCTATGTCTAAAATCCACATATGAGTGAGTACATACCATGTTTGTCTATTTGTGATTGGGTTACCTTGCTCAGAATGATTTCTTTGAGTTCCATCCATTTTCCTGCAAATTTCAAGATTCCATTGTATTTTTCCGCTGAGTAGTACTCCATTGTGTAAATGTACCACATTTTCTCTATCAATTCTTCAGTTGAGGGGCACCTAGGTTGCTTCCAGTTTCTAGCTATTACAAATAAGGCTGCTATGAACATCGTTGAACAGATGTCTTTGTTGTATGAATGTGCTTCTTTTGGGTATATGCCTAGGAGTGGAATTGTTGGATCTTGTGGTAGACTGATTCAATGGGCAAAATTTTTATTCTGAATGCTTGATTTCAAACTGGTGACCTGACCGTGGTAAAAGATTATCGGGTACCTGACCCAAGATTATTAAGCACAAAGATCCTTTCCAGGGATATGACACTACTAAGTAGAGGTGATTTAACCATCAAATGACTTGAGTATGAAATGAGGTATGTTGTGGGGAAGAAATCTGCTTGTGTTTTGCATTTAAATAATATTTAAATAAAAACTGAAAAAAAAAAGCAGAAACATTCTGAATCAAAAACAGACTGGGATTCCCATTTCCTATCCACATCATAAATGAATTCATTCCACAGCAATGACGCCTTGCATTATGGGTATGCTCAGATGCTCCCCACATCTATTTCATTTAAGATCATTTTAATCTTATTTAAGACTCACTGGGAAGAGACCCATTGAGACTGAGGCAAATTGTTGACCAGCCTGAGTAACATAGTAAGAGTAGGTTTAAAACAAAGCAAAATGAAATAGTATTTGCTAAGTAAGGAGTGATTAGCATTCTTCCCATGGTGTAGCTCAACTCTCAGGACACCCACACACGGCACATTGTCACCCCTGTCCCATAATGATGCTTAAAATAGAATCTTTTCTGGCTCTGGGAATTTAGCTGGTGACTGGGAAGGGATTTGCTCTTGTTTGTGAGCCATGGCTTTCCTGGCACTACACTGTTGTCCTCTGAGCTTTGTCCTCAAAGCCCTCTTGCTGGCTGTCAATCTGGTACAGACTCGGGAACCCAGAGTGATCTTTGCCCCATTCTCTGACCCTGGTCCTCCATCTTTAGGAGATACGATGTCCAGAGACTTCTAGCGCTGTCCTTTCTTTCAGGAACAGAGATGGCTAACCCTCATCTCCACAGACCACCAGAAACAGGAAACCTTTGGTGCTTTGGATCTCGGTGGCGCCTCTACACAAATCACCTTCGTACCCCTAAACAGCACTATAGAGGCCCCAGAAAACTCTCTGCAATTTCGCCTCTATGGTGAGGACTACAGTGTGTACACACACAGCTTCCTGTGCTATGGGAAGGACCAGGCACTCTGGCAGAAACTAGCCATGGACATTCAGGCAAGTACAACTGAATTCAGTTCTGCTCTCCTCACATCTGGTCCTCAGCCCCCACATCCTGTTATTTCCCCTTTGTAATTCAGTAATTGGTCTGAAGCTGGTCATTCTACTTTCCAACACTTCTCAAGCAGGACACCAAACTCCATCTGGTGGGCCCCTGTGAATGGTTCCACCCGGACAACCCTCCCATGTTTGTTTACTGCACTATCTCCAAGGACATCACTCAGATTGTTTCTTGGGAATTGATTTCTGGCCCCAGTGGTGTTGATAATGCAAGATACATGCTAGAGTATTATTGGGGGGAGGAGTGGCCCATTTCTAAGTTTGTCTACACCATTTTTTAACTAGAGAGAGAGAGAGAGAGAGAGAGAGAGAGAGAGAGAGAGAGAGAGAGAAAACACTGCAGGGAAAATACAGAATTTGTCAATCAGCACTTTAAAGATTGTCCCCAGATGTTTTCTGCATTTTCAACTCAAGAATAAATACTTGATGTAATGAGAGTACCGGACACACCCTGGCAAATATACACAGAGGGAAGTTGTCGCATCCAGCTGTCCCGTCTCTAAGAAAGGATAGTCCTCCCCTCTCGTTCATGCACTTTCTTGTCCCTAAAACCACCACCACCAAGACTGCCATCTTGAAGCAGGTACAACTGAGATGTGGTCCACATCTCAAAGTCCTCATGACTCTTATCTACCGCAGCCTCTCTTTTTTCTTGGGAATTAAAATCTGTTTTCCTTTTTCTTTCTTTTTTTGTTTTGTTTTGTTTATTTTTCAAGAAAGGGTTTCTCTGTGGCTTTGGAGGCTGTCCTGGAACTAGCTCTTTGTAGACCAGGCTGGTCTCAAACTCACAGAGATCTGCCTTCCTTTGCTTCCCGAGTGCTGGGATTAAAGGCTTGTGCCACCACCTCCTGGCTAAAATCTATTTTTCATTGCTGGGATAAAAGCCCAAAGGCATCTTCCCACTCCCGGAGCTCCCAATCTGCTTGGGGAGGAGCAGGAACAGCTATACCCAGGCTGGAGACACTGGACTCTTGTCCTTGCAAACCTGCTCCTTCTCTGTGTGCTTATTTTAAAAACTTCTTCTCAAGGGTGATAAAGGCAGGAGAGGGTCATGGGGTGCCATTCTGGGTACGATCATTCGGCATTCAAATGCTTCTTCCATTTAGGTTTCAAGTGGCGGGATTCTCAGGGACCCATGCTTTCACCCGGGATTCAAGAAGGTGGTGAATGTCAGTGAACTCTACGGCAGCCCCTGCACCAAGAGATTTGAAAAGAAGCTACCATTTGATCAGTTTCAAATCCAGGGCACTGGAGACTACGAACAGTGCCAACAGAGCATCCTCAAGCTCTTCAACAATAGCTATTGCCCTTACTCCCATTGTGCCTTCAATGGTGTCTTCTTGCCACCTCTCCATGGGAATTTTGGGGTAAGTTTGTGAAGACGAGAAGCCATACTGGTTAGAGTGTTTTGGGTTACAAGTTGTACAAGATGTGCCTATAAAGTATTTAAACAATATAAACTTCTTTTCTTACACATAATAATGTCTTGCTACAACTCAGGGTTTGTTGCTTGGCCTACCATGGTCAGTGTTCAGGATCACTTTCTCCACTGTCTTCTTGATTTTGTCATGGTGCTAAGAGTGGAGCTACTGCTCCAAGCATCACGTCTTCACCAGCCAAGTCAAGGTAGGAAAGAGAATGACGGCCAGAGGTTTCTCTTCATGCATCTGACATGTACTAGAGACAATAGACACCTTTCAGGGTCTGTTGGCCAGACCTTGGTGAAACACACATCTTGAAGCCATCTGATAAAGGGAATTAATAGCATGTTTGGCTTAGGTTAACTATTGTCTGTGTTTTCTACCTGGGTAAAATGAAGGTTCCATAAGCAAGGAAGACAGAGGCTAGCTACACGATATACACCCTCAGAGTTGACTGCAAGGCGTGGGCTGCAAACCTGGGCTCTTAGTGCTAAGCACACAGATAAGGGTGTCGGAGTAGCAGCAGCCATGGGGCGACGCCACTGAGGGATTTCTTCTCTAAGAAGCATTTAGGAAGCAGAAAATCTGGAACCACCAAGAGAAAACTTAAATAAGCACCCGTTTCATTAGTAATAATGAACAAGCATCCCTCAGAGTTTGGAGGACTGGGGGATTAGTGGATCCTGACTCCTCATTCCTTCTAGTCCTAATCACTCCAGAACAAGATAAAGTGCCGGTGCTGAGAGAAAGAGATGCCCCTTGACCTGTTAATTATTCACACTGCCTGTGTGTTTCCTGAGACCCAACACGACTGTAACTACAGTTGAGAAGTACATTGCAGGAGTTACCTACCATCCACCAAGTGCCAATTGCAAAGCACTGGCTACAGATACATCCATTGTCCACAGCACTGATCGAAGGACCAGGGCCTTTGTCTTCCTTTCTCCCTTTTCAGAGCAGAAGAGTTGACAAGGGGAGGTTCAGTTTTGCCTCTGGACCTCACATGAAAGAGTTTTATGTGTTTGTTTGCAAGGTCTACATGCCCATAATGTCACATATTGTCACATAAAGAGCTCCAGGGAGAGAGCACAGGGTCTGTTGTCATCAGACCTGACTGAACCCCTGTTCTGTGAACTGTAGGTGCTCTCAGTTTGAGTGGCCTCTGAAGAAACAATGGCGAGAGCCGTGGACCCAGGCCTGCCTTGTGGCAAGACCACAGCTTTCCCCTTTGCAGGCTCCTGGGATGAGTACAGCACCAGCAATGGCTGCTGAGTAGCTGGTCAGCTGTTGGTATCAATTCCAACCCCAAACCATGTGGCTGAACTGGTACTGGCTTCCTGCCATAGGGCTTTTGGGGGACCGAGGGACCTTCCCTGGCTTGAGAGAAACTTTTAGAAGAGGAAGAAAGGAGATACAAAAGGGAGGCGTGTGGCTAGGGTCTCTGGAGCCAGCTAAGGACCTTTTCATTGTAGTTGGAGCTAGGAAGGATAAATTTAAGGGAACGAGTGGACTCCTGTAGGGAAGAATTCGTTCCTGTCATTTTCAGAGCCAGTTAGCCCGGAGTAGTGAAGCCCAGAGCATCTGTGGAGAGGGAGGGAGGCTGTGCTTCAGTTGCAGTCAGCCTGATGCTCTGTATCTCACCCTGTGAGTGCGGCACTAAAATCAGTCCGTGTTCTCTAGTCTGGCTGCACTGTGGCCTTGGCATCTACGTCGAATCTAATGTCAAAGCAAAGTAGAAACATCAAGAGGAGAGAGAGAACATCTGTTGAGAATTATTTATGAGGTAATTTAGAAATTGTTTCTTAAGAACGCATTGTACAACTTACATAAACAAGGAAGAGCAGAAACAGAGAAGTATAATAAAAGCTCATGTAAAATGCTTTACATACATGTGTGCCCTGCTGGCCAATGAGCAACACGATTCAAAATCCACATACAGCAATTTAAAAGTCACTTGAGAACTTATTGACAGGTGACTTTTAATTTTGAATCTGGGATTTACTAAGTTGTCCAGGCTGACCTTTTTCTTGAAAGCTTCCAACTCCAAGGAGTTAGTTGGGATGATAGACGTGTGCCACCAGATGTCCCCTTCTCCTCCTCCTCTGAAAAAAGTCAGTTTTGTAAATATTTATTACAAAAGTTCTGAAAGAATCTCAATGTGACAGACATGAAACAACCTAATATTTTTAAGGTACAGTGAGAAAATTAAGACTTACAGAGACATATTTGTTATTAACAAACACAGACATCCTTAAGAAAATGTCCAAAGCCCCACACTGCCTAGATAATGCTGTTCTCCTTATCTGGTCAAGGGACAAAATCCAACAGCTAAGATCTCAGCTTCACTCTCCCTTGGCTTTTTCCTGCCAAGGCTTTATGTTCACCCTCTGAGTTTGGACTGTTGGATGGTGTAGAAGACTGGCTGGCACTTACTCAGCTGTACCCCTGCCCAGCCTCGGTATGCATGGATCCTCAGCTGTCAGATCAGCTGATTTTGTCTCTTTGTCATCCGTGGTTCTGAGTTTCCTGGTTACCTGTGTTAGTGGTTGAAATGAAGTGATACTGACCTGGCAGGGGCTCGCTGATCTCGGGGCGCGTCTGGAATTTTCTTATCATTTTTGCTGCTGCCCACTCTGCTTGTGTCTGGCGAGAAGGTTCCTGCGGAGTAGTGACCGTGAACCCATATTCCCGGTAGAGATTCTGCCGCACTGGTCTATTCTGAGGTCCTGCACCCCACTGTCACATGTTCTCACTTATTCCCACACGGGGTGGGACTCCTGTGGTCAGTGCTCATAGACTCGCCATAAGAAATAAAGCAGGGGCTGGAGAGATGGCTCAGGGGTTAAGAGCACTGGCTACTCTTCCGGAGGGCCTGAGTTCAATTCCCAGAAACCACATGGTGGCTCACAAACATCTGTAATGAGATCTGCTGCCCTCTTCTGGTGTGAAAGCATACATGCAGGCAGAACATTTGAACAAATCTAAAATTGGAAAGAAAGAAACAGAACCCCCTGTGCTGCAGGGCTAGTACTGTGGGGCCTGTCCTCCAGGAGCACTTTCCAACGTCTTCCTTGCTTATTCCCTGCGGTTCTTTTGGGGACAGTGTGGAGCAACCCTGTTTTGCGGATGCATCTAATTACTGTCTGCTGCATGTTTCCTGCACTGAGATGGACTGCAACAGAGCCTGTCACAGCTGCTGCCTCTCACCCTTTTCTCCTCCAGCAACATGAAGATCCACACTCTGTCTGTCTGTCTGTCTGAACATCAATGAGTTACCTGATGGGTTGTTATCTTTGGTGGCGTCTGGTGTACAAATATCCTTGATGTTGCTCACTTCTGTTGACAAAGTCATATCCATTTATTACTTGGAACCATTTTATTGCCACTGAGTCTTTCACAATGTCCTTTTTGGCCACCGGCTGCCACCACCACTGATATGAAGCAACCGGAGCCAGAACACCCTGAGTGCTGGTTTAGAGGGCAGTGGTGGCTTTTGGGTCCTTGCGGCAATGCTCATGATGGCCATAATGACAGTTAGACAGTCAGGTGCTCTGAAGTCTATTCTCCGTTCTTGCTACTGACTGGACTTTGAGCTCCCCGCAAAAAAACTTAGCTGCTAGTAATATATTGCTGTTGACTAGAAGCCTTGCCAATGGCCTTGACAGTCAAGTAAAGTGTATTTTCTATGTTTTGAATATTACATGCTGTAGAAATACGCAGGAACAACAAGAGATAGCTCTTTACTGCAATACAAACTCCACTAAACAGATAAATAGTTCTTGGGAAGAACAAAAACGCAATGTGGCATGTCTGTCAGCCAGAGGTTTGCAGCACCGGAGCTCCCCATAAAGCAACACAAAGGACCATACAGCAGTTACACCGGGCCAGTGACTTGGGGATTATGCCTTGATACTGCACCATTCAAGTTTCCCTTGAATGTTAAAAGTGTCCTGTACTGTTACACATCAGTGTCAGTGTGCATAAAATGTGATCTTTTCTCGTAGGTTTATCTCTGTTTTGTGGTAGTAAATGATGAAATATCTTCAAAATCCACAATGTTCCACAGTCCAAAAGTCTCTGAGATCTGAGACTCAGATTTCAGAATGATGTCATTTGACTGCTGAACACCCTCCGAAGGTCAGAGGGTGGAGGTCCTGGGGTGGGATGATCAGACCCCATTCCCTTTCCCTGTCTTCATTTCTATGAGGACAACCCCACCCCACCCAGGCTATTCCACGTGTGCCACCATCTCGGCAGAATCAAAAGCCATTTGTACTTTTGTGGCTGCTTTATTTCATTTAGCATAATGTCTTCAACAGTCCAGTCTTGCTTAACCCTTCAAGGGACCACAAGCTCCTGAAGAACTTGATGAAAGCTAAGGGTCTTCCCATTAGAACAACGGACATCAAGAAGTAAGCTGAAAAAATCAGCATAAAATTTATAATATAATCCCTGTGGTGGATCCGTGATCCCCAGTTTAGGGACCCTTATGCTACACCAAAAGGCACACAGAGAATAGAGATTGAAGTTCAAACCTAAGCCCAACTAAGCAGGTCAGTGTCTAGGAATGAACTCTCCCACAGGCATATTAAAGTTTGGAAGGCAGATTCAGACACAAGGGCCCGGACATGTGAACCCAGTCCTGACACCACCCCTGCCTCTATAACGCTTCCTATTGGGGCAGAGCCAACCTAACGCCTAGTGTTTGGTAAGCGGACAGGCAAGTTGGAATGCATGGGGAAGACAGACAGCAGAAGGTAGTAGGGGTGTGTCAGTCGGTCAGTCTGGGGGCAAGAGCCTGATCCTAGATATGAGACCGGACTTTGTTTCCACAAATGTGCCTACCACAGCTTCATCTAAACAATGCCAGCGCCCTCTCAGAGTATTTTGGTTGTTGTACCTTTTTATTGGTTTATGGACAAATTTACATTGAGTTCACTTTCTTTGTTTTCTTAGAAAGTTGGTAAAAGTAGACTGTCAGCTGTATTACCAGACATCTGCTTAGACTGGAAAGGCAAGGAAATTCAAGGTTAAAAAATGAAAAGAAATCTTACTCCATACAGATGGACCATGCGTCATACAAATGGACTAAGGCACACAGTTACTTGTTTTTGTTACATTAGATATGCGTGCTTTAAAAACCAACTTTTAAAAATCATGCGTCTTTAAGAAACTTCCATTGGGTGTAGCTTAGCTGAAATTGAAACACATCATGAGACTGCCAGTAGAGGCTCCCTTGTCGTTAGAGCGGGACCTGAGCCCTGGAAGGGTCCCGGTTGATGTCCCCATGTATTGGACACAGCCTCACAGTCTGCACTCTGCTCCCACAGGCATTTTCAGCTTTCTACTTTGTGATGGATTTTTTTGGGAAGATGGCAAAAGACAGTGTCTCCTCTCCGGAAAAGACGACGGAGACCTTAAAAAAATTTTGCTCAAAGCCTTGGGAGGAGGTAAGTGACCAGAAACCACAACTGTGAAATTGGCCCTGTACCCGCAATGTCCTGGAGGGTATGAATCTGCCCATGACATCATGCTGATTTGACAAATGGCCAGCAAATGTGTTAGAGAAGGCCGTGGAGTGGGCCTAGGAATGTCTTTATCACCATTCCCTGATGGTTTATAATGGCTTTATCAAGCATTGTCCTACATTTCTTACTTAACACACAGTTTTGTAACAAGCAGCTGCTTGCATGGGTAGATTCTCTCTAACTCAGCCATTGCTTCTTCAGTTCAGTTGTCATGGATACAGGATGGCTGGGGTGGCCTTCACAGTTAAGGTCAACAGAAGGAAGAAGCAGATACACATATCCTTTTGTAGGATGACAAAGACCACCCCAGAAGACCCTCACAAAAGATAAAGGCATCCCTTTATTTTTAGAGGTGGATTTTTCTATTGTTTTATTTTTGATTGATACATTTTATGATATACAATAGATATTTCAATTTCAACCTATCATATCAGAATAATGGTCATAATTATCAGCTCCGGGATGCTGCTTCACTAAGAATGTACACACTGTGTTGATCAGCAGTAGAAAGAGTGGACACATTTGTCTCAGTCCTGAGCACAGAGGCAAGGCTTTCGGCTTTTCTCCACTGAATAAAATGCAGACTATGGCTTGGTGGTAAGCAGCCTTCATGTGTTGGGATACATCCTTTCTATTCCTTCAGGATTGTATCAGAGGGAATGGAATGTTGTATTTATCAAAAGGTTTGTATGTATCTGCTAAGATGATTGTGTGGGCTTTTTGTGCTTGTTTTTGTCTATACGCTATATTATACTTATTGGTTTACATACATTGGACCATTCTCACACCTCTGGAATGAAACAAAATTTGATCCTGGTACATGAACTTTCTTTTTCTTTTTTTAAAATAATGTATTTATTTGTATTTTATGTACATTAGTGTTTTGCCCAATTGTATGTCTGTGTGAGGTTAAAGACAGTTGTGAGCTGCCATGGAGGTGCTGGGAATTGAACCAGGGTCCTTTGGAAGAGCAGCCAGTGCTGTTAACCTCTGAGCCATTCCTCCAGCCCTGGTACATGATCTTTACAGTATATTATTGAATTTGAATTGCAAGAAAAGCCATAGGATGAATTCCACTAAACCTTTAAGGAAGACCCAAAGGCAGCACTCCATACAATAAATAGGAAGTGATGCTTCCAAACTCATTCTGCACATTCAGTGTGGCACTGATAACAAAACTAGATAGAGAAAAAAAGGAAGGCAGGAGAGGGAGGTGCCGGTTTTCTTGATGAACACTGGTGCAAAAACTGTTCAGCTTTTCCTTCATTCAGGCTGATGTTGGCTGCTGGTTTGCCTTAGAGATTTATTACATTGGGGTCTGTTCCTTGTGTACCTGATTTATTAAGAGTTTTTATTATGAGGAAATACTGTAACTTATAGAATGTTTTCCCCTGCACTTAGTAGATCACAGTCTGAAAGGGTTTACTGATGGCACATTTCGTTTGGTGGACAAACTCTTGAAAGCAATGAGGCAAGGGAGTATTGCATATAGAATGTTCAGCGTGCTTCTGAGTGCATTATACATGGTTATCAGATGGTAGTTGTCTCTTAGCCCATGGTGGCCAGAAGGAAAGGCCTCTCTGAGAAATACAGCAGCAGACAGACCCATGTGCTGAGCTGGCAGTGTCCTGGCCACCTGCTCTCTCAGTAGGAAAGGAGCCAAGCAGGCTGTGAGCGTTCTGGCTCTGTTTTCAGCAGCTGGAGTGGGTAAGGTTAAGGAGTGGCAGGCAGCTCTTACTCTTTTCTCTAGAGAACGGGATGAATGAAAAGACTCAACAAGACAGCTGCTTTGTATAATGTTGATGTGAAAGGGAGAGTAGGAACTGAAGACAGAAGGCAGGGTGTCAGCATGCTCAGCGTTGATTAGCCGGATACTTCTGAAGGCGTCTTCCAAGGCTATTTATTGTCAAATGCTCTGTGTGTGTGTGTGTGTGTGTGTGTGTGTGTGTGTGTGA